GTTCGTGGCCTCTTGGGGTTTATTGTGGGCTTCTGCAGGGTCTTGGTATCTTGTTGGAGAGGTTGGCTCCCAGCGGTTCGACAGGTGGCGAGCTTTTCAATATGCTCTTCGGCCGTCTTGCGGGCCTTTGGGGGGCCTCTTGGGCCATCTTGGGCTGGTCTTGGGGGGTTGCTGTGTCAGTTCAGACGCTCTTGCGACCGATGCGGCCAGCATGCCATGAACACACATGAGGCGTTCCAAGAATGGCCTTGCCTTCGAGGATCGAAGGAGTTGTCATCCCTTCCGCCGCGGAAGGCGGCGGAAGGTCGGCGGAAGTAAAACGAGGCCGCCTCCGCTGGCGGAAGCCGGCGGAAGCTCGGCGGAAGGCAGAGGAAGTAAACGATGCGCGCCCAAGAGATGAAAACCGCAACCGGCCACATACCCATCGGTCGTCGAACGTAGGTATTGTTTGGAGATCGAGATTCCAATCTATCTACTTTAAGCGCCTTCCTACTTCAATTATCGAGTGGTTTCATCTTTACCGTCGTCCTTAGGGGGCGGACGGAGCCCAATCTATTTTGAACGCCGAACGCCTTCTTACTTCATGTTTCTGCCTACTTCTTCCCACCGATGGGTGACCTCATGGATTCCGCCGCTGTGGTGGTCTCGGACCAGCCCTTCGGCCCTCCGAAGACGGCCCGCGAGGCCCCCCAGCGTGCCGAGGTGGGCCCCGAGAGGGCCCAGGTGGCCCAGAGATGCGGTGGGAGCCCATGCCAACAGACACCCTGCTTGCCTCCAGGGTTCGACCACGCGCAGAGGGGGGACAGGGGGAGGGGGGAGGGCTTCTTAGAAGCACCCCTGATTCTCAGAAGGCGCCGGCCTTCTCTGTAGATGTAAGGCTGGCGCCTTCTGGGAAGCAGCCTCCTTCTCAGAAGCCTTCCCCCCTCCCCCTACCCCCCTCTGCGCGCCGCCAAAGGGTGCACTGGGTTTCACCGTTTTCGATGGTTTGCTATGGACCGCGCGACGTTCCCGCGCCAAGAATCCGCGGGCGTCCTGGGCTGTCAGGGTTGAGTTTCTTGTGGAAGGTTTCTTGTGGTCGAGCTGCTACTGTAGCTAACGCGGCCCCACGATCGCTGGAGTCACTCCAGGGAGCGGACTTGGCGAGCAGGTGCAGAAGGAAATGCAGTCAAAACTCAGAGTAAGGACGCACGGATGTCCTTAGGGTATCCTTGCGTCCTTGCCTCTGCGGCCCGCCCTTCGCTGTTTTTACTGGTCAGCTCTTCAGGGTGTTGGCAGTCCATCGCCCCAAAAATGCCAACTTCGGCGTTCAAGGCTCTTGCGTCCTTACCGCCCGTCCTTACTATAGATTTCAACGGTGGTTCCGTTGAACCCGAGGACGACCGGACCGAGTCGCCTCGGGCTGGTGAGCTCGGACAGTCCCAGGCGGCAGCACGGAAAAGGGGGGAGGGCTCCGAGTGAAAAGCGCCTCCCAGTCACCACCCCTGCACGACCACCCCCGGACCCGCCCGCCCACACGCCGACAGGGTCGGCGGATCTGCGCCGATCCTGCGCCCTGGGCGGGTGGGCTCGGCCAGGAGCGGCGTCGCTGTACGAAGGGTGGCCTCCCCAAGGTAGCTGGGAGGCCGAGCGCCAGCCGGCGCCGCAGCTCGGCGGCTGGCAGGCGGAGCGCCAGCCGGCGCCGATGCTCGGCGGCTGGGAGGCCGAGCGGCAGCCGGCGCCGCAGCTCGGCGGCTGGGAGGCCGAGCGCCAGCTCGGGGGCTGGGAGGCCGAGCGCCAGCCGGCGCCGCAGCTCGGGGGCTGGGAGGCCGAGCGGCCGGGCGGCGCCGTTGCCGAAGGAGATGGCGGTCACGGGCACGCGCAGGAGCCGGGCCCAATTTTCTCGGTGGTCAGAGATCGGAAGTTGAAGCACATACCAGTTGCGGGCGGTTTTCCAATCCCAGGACTTTTTGAGGGTCGGGGGTGACGTCGGGGTGGTGTGCTATGCTTGTTGCCCCGCTTTCCTGGAGAATCAACGAAGCATGTATACACCAGGATCCCGTAGACACCAGGATCCGCTTTTTTGTGCGAGTTTCAGTGCGTTGCCGGGAAAGACGTCGGTGTTTAGAGTTCGGCTCCTTCAGATGAGGGAGAGTGGAGGCACCGTTAGTTGGCCTTTGGGGTGCCACGGCTGGACGCAGCTCGGATCATTGATGCGTTTGGGCCCAGGCTGGGGTCGTGGGCTGATGTTTGAATTGCCGTGGTCCCAACTCGCCCTGCTCCAAGGCGGGGATGGCGAGGGTGTGGCACGGCGGCGTGTGAGGGAGATTCGAGCGTGCAGTCCAACAGCCGTGGCTGGATCGCTTGCTCCCAGGTCCCAGGACTTTGCAGAAGTGGATTGTTCACCTGGCCGACAAACGAAACACTCGCCAAGTTCGTTGCCACCAGTGATGGCGAGGCAGGTGCTTCTCCTCCCACTGAGAGGAAATGAGAGTCTCCTCAACGGGCTGGTTGAGGTGCTGCGGCCAGCTGGCTTCAATTAGTCATCACGCTGTGCATCACCGATTCGCTAACACCTCAACTGTGTCCATGTTAGGCGTGTACTAGTAGGCGGTGATAGAGGGAGCCTGTCCTACCTTTGCTGTTAAGGACTTACAGTGATAGAGTATCGTGTTTCATGCGTTCGGCACGTGTATGATGTCGCGAGGAGTGTTCTGCCAGAACCGGCATTGGTCTCGCATGCGTGTTCGAAATCGGTGTCAAGCGACACCTAGGTGCGACATACATAGATTTGTGTTTCCGCCAGCGTGCAGCCGCAGCCTTCTAGGTGGCAGCTACTCGAGAAGGCAATGGGGCCTGCTGGGGCCTCTTTGGGCAGAAGCCTCGAGTTATGGGGCAAATGAGGAGAAAAGCCGTCACATGTGACAGTGCTAATGACGCTGATTGGGGCCGTCCTGAGGAGCATAATGATGCGGAGGAGAAGTCGTCACATGTGACACCTGTTGTCTTCGCTTCTTGAGGTGGCGCTCATGTCCCTCTTTTGGGCTGCCTGTGCCTGATGATCGCGATGTTGATAGTGATGGTGGCGGATGATGGTGATGGTGACGACGGTAACCTGGATGGCGATAGTGATCAAAATAAGCATGATGAGGTTCCCCCTGGTGATTATGAAAGTGGTAATGCTGATAAGGAGGAAGAGGAGGAGGAGGAGGAGGCGGAGGCGGAGGCGGAGGAGGAGGAGGATGATATTGATGCGGAGGAGGAGGAGGACGACGAAGTGGATATCTATCACACGTGACACTTTCCCGTCTGCACTACTCGACGACGGGCCACATGGACCTGATTTGGGGCATCCTGGGGCTGTCCTTGGCTCCTGAAGGGCCGTCTTGGGTGTCTCCTGGGGCCGTCTTGGGGCTCACTTTGGGCCTTCGTGATCGTCTAGGGGGTCTCTTTGGGACTGTCGTGGGGCCGCCTGAGGCCGTCCAGAGGTCCTCTTTGGCCGTCGTGGGTCCCTCTGAAGGCCACTCAGGGCCAGCTTGAGGTCCATTTGGGTCCATGCTGGGCTCTCCGGGGGCCCTCTTGGGCTGCTTTGAGGCTGTCGTGGAGGTCTCTTGGGTTATCTGGAGTCCCTCTTGGGCCGTCGTAGGGGCCATCTTGGAGGCCTCGTGGGCCGTCTTGAGCCAACGGACGCTTGAACAGGCGAGAATGCGAAAACCTTTCGAACACTGGCGGAACACCCATGATGTTGGCTTGTCTTCTGCTATCTTGGAGCCAACGTGTCGGCCGTCTTCAAGCTATTCTGGGCAGCGTGTGGCAGCGTGGACGCACTGGAGAGCGTCAAGGAGGTGTGAGGCATCCCAGGAGGCTTCGGGAAGAGGGGACGGTGCGCGCAGGTGGGCACTTCGAGAAGGTGGGGGGCCTCGGAAGCATTACCCAAACCTTGCCAGGCAGCGCTTGGCATTCCCACAACACGGTGTCGGATTGTTGGTTTCGTTCGAATAAGGCAGTTCCTTCCTGTGTGCTTGTGGTCAATGGCTCCAGAGTCTGAGGCACGACGTCGTCGAACAATGGTGTCAGTCAGTGAGACAGTCAAGCTTGGCGCGCAAACGGCTCATTGACAGTTAAAATAGTTGTGCTTGAAAGTTTCGGGGAGAAGGAGGAATGAGAGAAGGGGAGAGGAAGGAGGACGCCAAACAACAATTTCAGCCGGTGTTCTGGCAGAAACGCGTAGACATTAGAGGCCAATTGCTGGTTGGATCTCCCTCTCTTCCTCTTGTGCCCCATAGCCTAGGCAACTTTGTGTAAGGCTCACAGGTACGGACTTTGAGGACAGGCATTTCTCGCACTGAGTAGAAGCTCTGCGACGCGACCGGCTGTCTGAGAATACATTGTTCCACAAGCTTATTGTTCTATAGGGCACCACGCCAGTTTGCGCCGAGATGATGGCGCGACTACTTCTGTCCCTGCGCGAGGTCACAGGTCACCTGTCGCAGGTAGTCGTTATGCCCTCACAGGTACTTCAAACAAATATTGCTTGATATACCTTTGATAATGAAGCAGGTACTGATCCTTCCATTGACAGGGGATGATAGCCTCGGCGACAGGTTGTCTGAGGTGCTGCGGTACTGCAGCAAACTGGCTTCAACTCGTCATGACTTTGTGTGCCACCGATTCGCTAGCACCTCGCCTGTGTCCATGTCAGGCGTTTGCTAGTAGGACGTGGTAGACGGAGCCAGTTCGAGCCGTCATCAGATTCTCAATGGTGCCGTGCACCAGAAGAGGAGGTGGAGTCGGAGACAGACGGCGAGGGGGGAGGAGGAGAAGGAGGAGGAGGAGGCCAGAGCGGGAGCTGGCAGGAGGAGCAGGCGAAGGTGGCCGAGGGGGCACCGAGCCACGAGGAAGGGCAGAGCACGGTCCGCGCTGGGAGCTCGGCGGCGCTGACACTGGGGGTCCTGCTGTGGAGGTCGATGCCGAGGCTGAGTGCGAGGAGAGGGCCCCGTCCGGCGCTGCGGTGCAATCTCCAGGCGGCGCCGCCGGCCATGCAGCTGAGCGCCTGGGAGAAGGCGGGGCCTGCCGCGGGGCACGCGGGCGCGCAGGGCTCGAGCCAGGCCCTGGGCGGGGGGCGCGAGAGAGACCTGCGGCGAAGGTCGAGTCTGGCTTTGGGTCGGGCCTGTCCTTCTACGGGGGGAATCTTCAGAACTTGTCAAAAATCAGTCTGGGAACTATGTTTTGATCATTTTTTGGCCCTTGTGGCATATTTGTTGGTATTTTTTCCTCGAAAATCCCCCTGTCGGGGGACAGGCCCGGCTTCAGTCTAGCTGCGACAGTCTAGCTGCGATGCTGCGCGGAGCGTCCACCGGTCTCTGGCGGGCGCCCCGGGGGGAGGGGTCCAGGGAGGAAAGAGGGTACCGATGCCGCTGCTCGTCCTGGAGAGCCCTCGCTGCCACGGCCGAATCCTCCGCGGAAGTCTGGTCAGAGGGCACCCCTGGGAGAGGTCCGGGGAGCAGTGGTGTCTCTGTCCCGTCTGTTCCCCATGGGGAGGGAGGGGGGCGGGGGAGGCTGGGAGGAGGGGGCGTAGTTTCCAGGGAACGCCCTGCCCGAAGCTCTGATTCTGGCGTTCGGGGGCCGTGTTCTTGTTGGATTGCGCAGGTACCTTGTTAGCACACATGGGCACACGCTGGGTTTAATACGTCGGAGGATGCGCAAGGGATCGGCGTGGAAGGCTGGATATCAGAAGACCAGACTTCTGCGATGATCCAGCACGGCTGCACGAAAGCTACTCCAGCGCGGAGGGCCTACGTTAGGTTCCCTCCGACTGGTCGATTGGGTGATGTCCTCGGCGAAGGGTCAAATTGTGATGAGTCGTCCTCGTTTTGTTTTAGCCCATTGAAACGTTATCGAACAAACTTTTGTTTGTTGCGCAACATGTTGTTCAACACGTATCAGGCTGATGCGGTCTTGTTTTAGGACATTGTACGTCTGTTCCAAAAACAATGCCGTGGTAGTCCTGAAGTGATGCTGGAGCAGTCGGTCCCTGCTCAAGATGGATGGGTCCGCTGGCCGACGCTGCAGGATCGACGGCGTGTGGGTCGAACCCCCTGTGCGATAGTCTGCTGGATCCTGATCCCTGCCTCCGCTCCGTGTCCCTTCCCCTTCGTCGCTTCCTCCCTCTCCTCGCCCGTGCTCCTCTCCGACTCGTCTCGTTCCCTCCCTCTCCACGTCCTCTTTCATCGCCCCCTCAGGGTTATGACTCGATGCCGATGCTGGCCGGCCCGATCCGATTCGATTCCGATTTTCTCCCTCGGTCCGATGCCGCCCGATGATCGCACGGCGTTGACGTGCTTATCCTGAAGCAGCCGATCCGATTCGATCTCAGCCCCGTGCCGATGCCTTCCGATGCGGCGCACGATCCGATCCGATCCGATCCGAGTTCTTCCGATGCGGTGCTGACTGATCCTGCCTCTCCTCGGCCTCCTCCCTCGTCCCTCCTTCCGTCGCCCTCTCCTCGGCACAGGGCTCGGCCTCAACGGTCTTCTGGCGACTCCGTGGGCCGTTTTCCTTTTGACTTCGCTCTGCAGCGAGGGCGGAACGAAGGCAGAACGAGGCAGAACAAAAACAAGACGCAAACGAAAAGCACTGTTCAGGTCGATCCCTGCCCCCTCCACCGCCCCCTCCTCCTCCTCCTCCTCCTCCTCCTCCTCCTCCTCCTCCTCCTCCTCCTCCTGCTCCTCAGCAGGCCGTCGTCCATCTGCCCGTCCAGCTCACTCACCCGGGCCTTCCGCCGGGCCGCGGCCCTCCGTCGCCGGTCCCTCGGCGCCGTCCGAGCCCGCGGGCAGGCTGTCATCTTGTGTCGCCTCATCGTCGACGAGGTCGGCCCACCAGGGCTCGGCCTTACTTGCGTTTTTGCGATTTCGGGCACCGTTTTCGTTTCTACGTTGTCTTGCAGCAGTGGCGGGGCGAAGACAAAGCCAGGGACATCCAAAGCAAAACGAACACGAAAAACACCTTGTAGGTCGAGCCCTGCGGCCCACATCGCCTTCTTGCGCAGCCCCCGCGGGCTCCACGGCATCCTGGAACCTCGTCCTCGCAGTAGCCCTGGCTCCCCCTCGGCTCTTTGCCGCCGTCCCTCTCCATGAACGCCTCGCACATGGCGAACGCTTCCACACTGCCACGCCCCTCGGCCTCGGACCTCACGGTGTCGACGTGTTCTATGAACGCCACGCACATGGCGAACGCTGGCCATCTTTGGCGGCGCGCGCAGAAGGGGGATAGGGGGAGGGGGGAATGCTTTTTGGAAGCACCCTTGCTTCTTAGCAGGCGCGGGCCTGGCCGCCTTGGTGCCGAAGCTCGGCCCTGCAAGTTTGCTCGACACGCCGCCAATTGTGCCGAGTCAGCGCAGCAGGCTGTTAATTCTTTTCCCTCGGCTCCCGCCAACGAGAGTGGGGCTAGGGGCCGCGAGCTGAGCTGTGAGGATGGTGCGGAGGGTCCTCACGCTCTCACGGTGAGCGCCCAAGGGAATTCTCAATGCCCGTCCCCAACGTTTGATTCGGATGGTTTCGAAATCCGCGGTTTCAGAGCGGCTTCCCACGTTGGGTCGTATCAATGTAGTGTCTTGTTCCACTCGACCCCTGCAGACCAGGGGTCGAGGATCCGCTCCGCTTCCGATTCTGGTGCCGAAGCTCGGCCCAACAAGTTTGCTCGACACGCCGCCAATCGTGCCGAGTCAGTGCAGCAGGCTGTGAATTCTTTTCCCTTGGCTCCCTCCAACGAGAGTGGGGCGAGGGGCCGCGAGCCGAGCTGTGAGGATGGTGCGGAGGGTCCTCGCTCGAAAGCTGCTCGCGTGAGCTATGAGCCCAGATGTGGCTCGAACTAGCTCGTTTTTTGTCGGGGCCCGTGGGTTGCTGCCGAAGTCAGCCACCGCATGAAGTCACCGCTTGGGTCCTAGCCTGAGACCAGGCTAGGAAAAGGTCCAGGTGAAAAAAGGAAGTCCCCCTCCTCCTCCTCCTCCTCATCCCCCCTGCCTCGTGCCCCTTCCCTCCTCCTCCTGATCCTCCTCCTCCCCCCTCTGCGCGCCGCCACCATCTCGTGGCCTCGTCGACCACGATCCCGCCAGACCTGGCGGGCCTCGCCTCCTGCTTCTCCGCCACCACCGCTTGGCTCTGGCCGTCGTGCCCTGGCGATCGTTCGCGAAGGGTGCGCCCAGGCCGCGTTATTGGGACGACGACGACGACGACGACGACGGCGACAAAAACGGCTAAAACGACGACAAAAGCGACAACTAAAACGACGACAAAAACGACGCGTAAAACGACGACGACGACGACGGCGACGACGGCGATGCGGGGGCGAGGCGCCGCCGCAGCCGCCGGCGCCCCCCTGCGACGGCCGCTCCACGCTGGGCGCCAGCGCGCAGAGCCTGCAGGCCGGGCGGCACGCCGGAGCGGCCCCCTCGAGGAGGAGGAGGAGGAGGAGGAGGAGGAGGAGGAGGAGGAGGAGGAGGGGGAGGAGGAAGAGAAGAGGGAGGAGGAGGAGGAGGAGAGGAGGAGGAGGGAGGAGGAGGAGGAGGGGTGACAAACCGCCTCTTTGAGCCTTCCGGGGTGCTCTTGAGGAGCGGCCCCCTCGGCCGCGGGGGGGGCGGCGGGTCGACCATGGCGTCAGGGTGGCCCGTCGCCGGAGGGCCTCTCGGGTGCGGGCAGAGGTGGGCCCCCCTCCTCCTCCTCCTCCTCTCCTCCTCCCCTCCTCCTCCTCCTCCTCCTCCTCCTCCTCCTCTCCTCCTCCTCCTCCTCCTCCTCCTCCTCCTCCTCCTCCTCCTCCTCCTCCCTCCTCTCCTCCTCCTCATCCTCCTCCCTCCTCCTCCTCCTCCTCCTCCTCCTCCCTCCTCCTCCTCCTCCTCCTCCTCCTCCTCCTCCTCCTCCTCCTCCTCCTCCTCCAGATGGCGGAGCGCGAGTCGGGCGAAGAGAACTGTGCACACGCACCGAGCCTGGCAACGCCCATCCTTGGCCCGGGATCGGTGCATATGCCTTCCTGGCCAAGGCAGGAGGGCGTATGCACCGATCTTGGGGCTCAGGGTGGGCCTGGCCAGAATCGGTGTATGTGCACAGTTCTCTTTCCTCGCAGCGAAGCGGCAGCAGCGGCTGGCGCGCCTGGACTTGGCCTCCCCGCGTCCCCCCCAAGGCCGCGCACCAAAGGGTCACTCGTACCTGGGGCCACTCTTGCGTATATCAAGCAATGGCGAAGCGTCTCGGCTCGCCTATAGCCCTGCCAAAGAATGTTCTAAGAACCTGTTGTGGTCTCCGCGAAATGTTCTTAGAACCTTTCTGGCGGAGTCTGTCTTGTTTTGTCACATCGGGTTTATGTTCTAAGAGCATTGTTTTTGTTCTTAGAACATGCTTGGGTTCTAAGAACATTTCGCGGTAGGACTATGGAAATCCCAGGACTGTCGGTCCCTGCTCAAGTATAGCCGAGGGGGCTGCGGGCGCGCGCCGGGCGGGTGTTTGTTTCGACTACGCTTAAGTCGGGCCCGCCCCTCTACAGGAGGGATCTTCAAAAACGGTTTTAAAAAATAGTCTGGGGAGTATCTTTTGATTATTTGCTGGCCATGTTGGAGTGTTTGGGGAGTCTTTTATTGTTCGTCGCCGTGTAGGGGGGACACGCCCAACTCAAGACTACGCGTGAGAGTGACCCTTCGCCGGAGCGACTTGGGGTTCCCCGATCGCCGAGCGCGATGCGGCAGCAGCTCGCAGTAGACCCCCCTGGCGGCGCCTCCAGCGCAGCCCCTGGCGCGCTCCGCGCGCCAGGGAGGGGGTCCAGGGCAGATCGAAGAAATTTGCGCGGAGCGTTAGAAGTTTATAGGTCTGGTATTTTTGTTTCTTCTAGCAGCGTCTTGCGCGCTTGTGTATGGCCCCCCCGCGGCCCCCAAAAAGCCGCGCACCAAAGGTCACTCTTATCCGGGGTCACTCTTGCGTGTAGCCGAGTGGTACCCGCCCGACGCGCACCTAGGACAGGTGTACGGTCGGACCGAGGTATAAGATCGAGGTCGGCTCGGGGAGGGTACCTTGATGTTCTTCGTGTTTGTTGGATGTTCTTGTGCATCCTGGGGCAGGGCCCCCTCGACAGTTCTTCAGTGTGGTCGGCGGAGGGTCTCATGTTCCTGAGGGGTGCTCTTCTACCTTAGGTCCGGCTGTCATGGGCGGTGGCCTAATTAGGGGGGGGGGGGGGGGGAAAGGAAAGGGCCCTGAAGGGCCCCTCTGGGGCCCCTGCTGGCTCCCAGAGGAGGCCTGGAGGGCCCCTGCTGGGCCCTGGTCTTCGCCCGTGCACGCGGGTCACCCCCCCCAGTGCCGCCCGCCCGAGCGCGGCCGTCGGAGGACATGGTGGCACCGTCGGGGGGGGGGGGGCGGGATCGTCGGCCCTCGGCGTGTGTTTGCTCCCCGCTCGGGGTGCTTCTCCTGGCGGCCGCGCCTCCTCGCCGCGAGCGCTCCGCGGGGCCCCCGAGTCGCCCCGAGCGGCCGGCGGAGAGCGGAGCGGCATCCCGAAAGCCAGGGGGCAACGTTTTGGGGGGATGGGCTCGGGGGTGGGTGCACCGGCCCCCAATCGCCCATGACGTGCCCGAGCGCCCGCCCCAGCCGAGGAACGTGCGGGTTCGCCGTCGGGGGCCTATCGCCGAGTTCTCGGCGATGTATCGCCGATTCCAGCTCGCTGTTTTCCCCCCTGAGCCGGCCCCCCCCCCCTGTCAGGCGATCGCAAGCATGGATCAAGGGTGCGTGAATTAGCGACGGGTGGCGTTTCCATGGGAAATTTGCGGGTCGCTGCCGAACGAGGCGGCACCGGCCGCATTTTGGGGGAGGTGCCGCCAAATCCATGGATCGCTAATCCATGTTTGCGCGCCCCCCCCCCGGCCGCTCTTTTTCATCGGTGCGCGGCTTCTGGGGGAGGCGCTGTGGGGGCCAATCCCAGCTGAGGTTTTGTGATGCAGTGGGGGCCCCATTCCAAGAAATACCCTGCTTGGCTCCAGGGTGCCCTGGGTTTCTTGAGTTTCGATGGTTTTGCCATGGTAGGCGTGACGTCCCCACACCAAAAATCGATGAACGTCCTGAGGTCTCAGGTTTGGGTTTCTTGTGAAAGGTTTCTTGCGGTCGGGCCCCCACTGTACATTTCAGGTTCGGACGCCCTCACCAGGCCCAGGGACTTTGAGAAAACGACCCAAGACAAAAAGCAGCTCCCAGGGAAAGGGTTACCCACGCAGGCCTTGTGATACATGTCAGGTTCGAACGCCCTCACCAGGCCCTGGGACTTTGAGGAAACGAGTCAGGATAATAAGCAGGTCCCAGGGAAAGGGCTCCCCACGTTGTGAAGAAGTAGCGGCGTTCTTGGTCTGGGGACCCAGGCATGCAGGCCGCTGCTGTTAGGGTGTTGTCTCAGGTGGCCTTGGCCAGGGCGGCCCCAGCTTTTCAAAGGAAGCCCACAGGAGCGATGCAAGAAAACCGAATCGTTTGCGCCCGCATTGGCGCGCAAGCTGCCCGCGTAAGGTCGCGCGGAAGCGCCCTCGCCTCCAACGTAGCCTTCCGCGCCGGCGGCCCGAGTAAGCCGCTGCGGAAGGTGGTTACGGTCGGACGGAGGTATGCGATCGAGGTCGGTTCTTGGAGGGTAATTACCCTGATGTTATTCGTTTTGTTTGGATGCTCTTGTGCATCCTGGGGAAGCGTAATTACCCTGAAGGATGGTTCTTCTGTCCCGGCGGAGGGTCTCATATTGCGAAGGCCTTACGGCCGATGCCGCCGACCCTGGAGACGACCCTGTCGTCTGGGCGCGCCAGCCCTCGCGGATCGGACGGTGGCTGCGAGGCGCTGTCGGACGTCGGAGGCGTTGAAAGCGCGCTTGCCGCGCTCGGGAAAGTGTCCCTCCTCCGTTCTGTGATGGGGAGGAGGAGGAACAGGCGGAGGAGGAGGACAAGGTCGAAGAGCAGGGAATACCTGGTTGTTTTGTAACTTCCTAGTTTGTTCTGTAGCTTCCTAAGAGAGTTTTTGGGGCCTCTCGGGAGCCTCTTGGGGCCTCTGTGGGCTTCCTGGAGGGCCTCTTGGGAGCTTCTCGGGGCTGAGGGCTCGAAATGTCCGTTCGGGTCCCACGTCTGGGCGCTCTCTTGGAACCGTTTTGGGTTTTTTTTTTTGTGAATCTGGGAGACGTCTTGGGCCGTCTTGGGGCACTTTTGGGCCGTTTGGAGACCCTCTCGGAGGCCTCTTGGGCCGTGTCGGGCCGATCTTAGGAGCCTCTTGGGCCGTCTTGGCGCGTGGGGAAGCGGAAGAGGCGAAAACGCCAAAAATCCTTGAAAAACGTATCGGAAATCCATGATTTGTTCCTCTTGGGGCTCTCGTGGGAACGGTCCTGGAGGCCTCTTGAGGCGTCTCGCAGGCCTTTTGGGCTGTCTGGAGGCCGTCGAGGCGTCTTGGACAGATCATTCGGCGATTCGGCGCCCTCTTGGATCGTCTTGGTGGCCTCTCTGGGCACTCTTGGCCCGTCTTGGGACTTTTTTGGGCTCCGGGATTCCCCATGGGGGCGGCGTAAAAACCCTGGACCCCCCCCGGGACCCACCCCGGGGGGCGGCGTAAAAACCCGGGACCCACCCCCCCCTGGGACCCCCCCCCCCCGGCGGGGAAGGGATCAAAGGGAAGGGGCTTCCCTTCGACTCAATTACGACGTTGCTCAATTTCGCCGAGGAGGGAACAGACGGAGAAGCCTTTTCCACACGCCGACAGGGTCGGCGGATTCTTGGTGGTCCTCTGTCCTGGGTCCAACTGTAGGTCATCTCGCGTAAGGCCTGTTCGTTTGTTCGTCGCTGGGCGACGCAGAAAAACTAGGGGGCCCCCAAACGGCGTGGTGACCACACCGTGCGGTGAGTCGGCGGGGGTTCGGGGTCACCGCACGGTTTTGGGATTCGGGTCGTTTTCCGAGGCGGGCGACTGGGGCCTCCGAGGTCCCAGAACCGTGCGTCGACGGACCGTGCGGTGAGGTCTTGGGGGAATTCGAGGTCACCGCACAGTCTGTCACCGCACCGTTTCGGGACTCCATAAAAAAACGGGGTCGTCTGCGCCGACATTGGCGCGTAAGCTGCCCGCGCAAGGTCGCGCGTAAGCGTCCTCGCTTCAAATGAGGCGTGCTGCGCGGGCGGCCCGCGTAAGCCACCGCGGAAGGTTGCTATGCCATCTCTCGTAAAACTTGTTTTTTGCTCGTCGCTCACACGGCCTCCAAATGAGCCCTCTGGGAGGCCCAGAGGGCCCCTCCTCCTCCTCCTCTTCCTCCTCCTCCTCCTCCTCGTCCTCCTCTTCTCCTCCTCCTCCTCCTCCTTTTCCTCCTCCTTTTCCTCCTCCTCCTCCTCCTCCTCCTCCTCCTCCTCCTCCTCCTCCTCCTCCTCCTCCTCCGCCTCCTCTG